AATAATGTTGGTTAGCATGGGCATTTGCTTAGTGCCATGTAATCCACTTTCCAAAAAGGTTTTCGACTCTTCCTGGCCACCTACAAAAGCTCTGATCTGCAGAGTCTCATTACTAAATTATTTTCTGCAATTTATTTCTGTATGAATATCAATACATTATAATTATATTATTTTCTCATGCATCATATGTATGCATATTTCCAAATTTTCTTAGCTAAATTGTGCGTCATACCATAGCTACTGGTATTTGTAAAACGGCAAAAATTAGCGTCTAACTAACCAAATCCTGCTACTAACATATTACGGCCAGCTTACAAGAGTGCAGACATCCTGAAAAGTGGGAATACCTGAACATTGACAACAAGAATAGGTGGAAGTATCCTGGATGATTCACTAATGGGAAGTTCCACAAACCGAGCTACATGATTAATTTTTCTCTGAGATAAAAATACATCAACACCAAAAGGATAGTACGCGGCAGAATTAGCAGCAAACTCCTTCCTCTTGTCCCTGCATAGAAAATTTGCAATGGAAGACGTAAATACAAAATATCTTGACAAATCTTCATGTACACTCGAATGTATAGAAATGAGTACATTCTTGCACCTGAAATAATTCTCTCCCCTCACTTTGAAAGTGCTTGGCTCAATGTTTGACCAGCTATCAGCTACTCTCTTTCCAAAGGGGCAGAAAGGCACTTGCGAACCAGCTAGAGGTCGTTGCAGAAGTGCCTTAGAAGAAACTACAATAAATCATAAATTGAAAATGATTATCTTTGAAATTTGACAATCCCACTAACAGTCCACGACAATTTTGTATTGACAATAAATATATAAAACATGCATAGATAATAAAAATTACGATACAAATGGCCAATAATTTCCCCCTGCTTATATCCCTTAAGAAGAAGAAACTTGTACACCATCTACAAACCAAGAGAAAAGATCAATACCTAGACCCACCACTTCCATTTATTTTGAAATTTTATTCCATGAACTAAAACCATAATTTGAAAGTGGACAGCAAATTTGATCTAGCAGTACATTACGAAGAATTCAACAAAATAATTACCAAAGGAACTTGTTTTCATCCCTTTTGAGTTGTAGTAATGATATTGTTTTATGATGCAAGTTGGAGTACTAAGAATACCAAATCCATAGAGATGATGCCAACAATGTGATTATCCTGGTAATGCAACAACTATGCAAATTATTTGAATAGATGCACAAACTGTGGAAAAACTAAAAAAATTACACGATAGCAACCTTTATTGGACTGTATGGAGCCTAGTCATAGTGTTCTCTTATCCACTGTATCATAGGTTGCAATAATATTCCTTTTAAGGGGAGGCCTTTTTTTTTTTTTTTTTTTTTTTTTTTTGGGTGTTTGGTGGCTATTAAAATTAGATTTTTTAGTAGACTGTGATAAATGTTTTGAAATGTGTGGTTGAAAAGTTGTGGAACCCATGAAAGATATGGTTAATATTGATTGCTTAATTTTGACTTAGATTAAAATTAGATTTTAATCCAAACCAAAGAGGCTCTTAGTATTTCTCTCACAATTGGAATTGGGGCTTAATTCATAAAATAATCATCTTGGAACCTCAATAAGTTCAAAATACATTACTATGATGGATTTGAATCAGCTCAGACAAATATTTACTAGTTCAATCTCAAGAGTTTCCAGTGTGGTACCCAAACAATGGTTCCACATGAATGGGCAGGATGAAATAATGTTATTATACTTACCCAACAGAATTACACAAATTTATGTTATGAGTGACTCTATTATACGAAAAACGTGTGGTAGAATACATTTAACATCAGGAATACAAAAAGAAGTTTAAACCAATAAGAAAACGAGCATTTTAACAAACTAAAACATGGACAAGAGCATAAGACAGCAAAAATGTTCCATAAAATATTCTGTTCCTTCCTTGTGTTGTGACAATAATTTTTTTTCCCTTTTCGGAAAAAATACAGTTGGATGGACAAAAGTCAAGCTCAAGACTGAAATGTACGATCTAAGAATTCATTATAACATAATTAAGAATGAAAAAGAACATAAAAGAATTATAATGCAAACAGTAATATTCATGTGATTTGAATCTATGTAATTCGTGCCAAAATTAATCAATGTAATAAATTTTATTTGTACTCACACAAAGTCGTATTATGATGTGCTTCCTTCCATTTGAAAGAAAGTTTCAAGGCAGCCTTTTTCCTTGTACTTGGAGGACTAGAGCTCAAGGATGTTCTCTTTTCAACTGACGGGACAGCAGAAGCAAGACAAGGCAAGCAGTTGTGTGGAAGAATTCCGCAATTGTCCAACAAGCTGCCCTCCCGGCCAGCATTTTCTCCAGAAGTCGAGGAGACTTCATCAGCGAACACTGGCTTTATCTCGTTTATAGTTCCATCAGATTTCACTCTTGCTGTTTCACTGACTGAGTTGCGAGCAGAATGACCAGTTAATGATTCCCCATCAAAGCCACTCAGAGAGAGCACATCTGTATAGTTTATTATAAGTATTAGTGCACGTTTATTAAGCAATAGTGGACAATATAATTAATAAAATATATAACTTCTTTTCCTTTCTTCATACTATTAAGTGCTACAAAACATGCTATTATTATTAGAGGCATAAGAAGGATGAAATTAACAAAAGTTTAAGTGTAGTGTACCATCGGGAGCACTTTGGAAATCTTCATCACTCCAGTCAGATTCAAGTACTGCAGCAGAATCAAACCAGGCTTCTTCAACACTTCCTGTGAGTGCCATTGCAAGTGTGAATAAATTTAATCAAGCAAAATCTAGTGACTTCAAAGATGAGGAAATGATTGGTATTTGATTTGCGATAAATAGCAATGGATTAAAAGTTCTCGTTTACTTCAGTGATACAAGCTATAATCTGACAGTTTCTACCATTAATAGCTTTGATTTTACTATTTTGTGACTATATCACATCATCACTATGGTATAAGCCATAAATCAATCATTTAAGTAATCGACAAATGACAATATAAATCTCTTCTCATGTCTCCCCGAAAATTGAACTGTTGCAGAATGGTTAACTTCACATCACACGCAGTTCAAAAAACTCCATCGATAGCATTAATAGATCATCCATCTCCAATCACCTGAAAAATTATCTTGACTTTTAATTGATGGAAATCAAGATAAGTATATACAACCAATGGGAAAAGATAGTCTCAATCCTGATTAGTTTTAAAATCAAGGGCGAGTCAAACACTGATGTTGTCTATATACCCCCACATATAAACAACATAATCGAACAATTCACAGTTAACAAGTTTACAGCTCGATCAAGGGGCTTCCTCCCATTAATCATAATTTAAGCCTTGGTCTAATGACCCTCAAGATCTCGAGCAGTATATTTCCATTAGTTCTATCTCAATTTGTATTTTATAATGTCATTACGAAAACAAAATTTGGAGATTTAAATCCCCGAATTTTTTATTCCGTTTTTCTCCCACTTTCTGTCATCATGCAGATCCCAAAAGTTCAATTTCATTCGAGTACTAGTCTTATATTCCTCCAGGAAGTAGATTTATTTTTGCATGATATATAAACCAAAACTTCATTAGTAAAACTGCTTCAGCCCCATTCCCTTTCCCCATTAACTATATGTAATGTTAATTCTTGTTCCTAATAAATTTTGGGGTCGGCTACACAAATCATTTTTCTTTACCTCCCTTCATTTCATAGCTAGATCCAAGATTGATAACTCGAAACAATACAATATCTCCAATAAAAATCATCTACCTTCAATGTCTTCTGTTCCCCAAATTTAATCATATTTCACAATGCAGTACAACTTAAAGACTGTCAATCATTGAAATTCCACGCATTCAAATAATTCATAACCCCAGATCAACAATCCTAAATACGAACTCGATCAATATTTTTTGGGTGCGATTGAACAAATATCAAACGAGATTTTAACTTTTTTTTTTCTTGTCTAATCCATTAATACTCTCCAACCCACCACCAAACTAGCCACAAAACAACTATTCATACACACAGATATACATAATTGAATCAATGAATATGAAAAATACACACACATATGTATAAAGTGAGAAAAAACCATGGAAAGTGGGATTGTTGAAGGGACGATCCAAAGGCAACGATCGATCAGATACATGATAAGGATTACTTCTCTTCATAACTCTCCTTCTCTTCCTATTCTTCATTCTTGGAACTCCCGATTTACCTCCCACACAATTCTTAGGTCCAGAAACACATGCCCCCATCTCTCTCTAAAAAAATTATGATGGTAAACGAAACTGGCTCAAATTATAAAAAAAACAGAACTAAATATCATCATATCAGCTCAAAAGTCTAGAGATAGAAACGAAAATGGTCTAGACAGAGAGAGCGTGAAAAGAAGTACAACCCATCAACAACCTCTCTCTTTTCACGGTCTATAGATACAGATTAAATATACATGGATATCAGTGTCTATATGTGTGAATTTGTGATTTAAGAGCTGAAGCCCAAAAAGTGGAACGGGGAGGGAGAGAGAGAGAAAAAGTCAATTATATCTCATAAGCGATTCTATATAATTAACTATTTTTATTTTTTACATAAAAATTAAAGAGGAAAAAACGCAAATCGGTGACTGCAGTTAGGGAAGCCTCCCCTGTGGTGGGACCCATGAAAGTGGCTATAAACACAGTGTTTTGTACGTGTGTATACGTAAATGTGTGTAGGCGCACGTGCGCGTGTGAATTATGGTTCTAACGTTACTGTCTCAGGCTGTCCGTCACAAAAGATCTAAATATATTATTTGTACAAACAAACTTGATAATAATGGTTAACAATGTTGGTGTTGTTAAAATTCGGATCATTGATTTAATTAAATATAAAATTTTAAAACTGAATCAATTGATTTAGATATGGACTAAAGGGTTTTGGGAGTTATCCAACCCGTAATAATTGATCGAGTCAAAATAAAGAATCAATAATAAGTGATTGAGGCAAGATCCAATAGGTAGTAAAATTAATTAAATATAAAAGTTGAGAAGTGAGTCAAGTGATTTAGAGATGGACTAATCGGTTTTGAGAGTGATTTGACCAATATTCAGGTTTTTCAACGATTCATATCGTTGGGTCTGAATCTTGTAAGATTATCGAGTTCTCAGAATTCAACATAAGTCCCACTGTTTTGGATTTGAATCTTGTGGTCAAGACAGAAAGTTATGAGGGATAAGATAAACTTAAACTCTTTCAAAGTGGACAATACGTAAGTTAACAATTTGGACAAAGATGTTGGCTCGTTACATAATTGATAGGAGTAATGTGTAGGCCTTTTTGGTAAAAAGGGAAGAAAAGAAAATAGATAACTTAAGAGATTTGACAAGAGTAGTTTGATGCTTCAGCTTCACTCATTTATTTTCTTTACGTCAAATAGCAATGGTCATGAAATCATTAAAACCTCAACAACCAACATGCAAATTTAAGAAAAATAAATGTTCATAACTTCTAACATCCCATCATTATAAAATATTGACAATCAATGTTCGGCATAAACATGATTGAGTAATACGATCACCTAAATTCTACACTTTATCTTATCAACAACTCATAAATATATATAGTCCGTGTTTGATATAAATTGAAATCCAGATTTTACTAAAGTTAAAGTCAATAATTAATTTTAATTATATATTTCATCAGATCCACAATTTTTTAATCATAAATTTCATCAACTTTTATCAAATCTGTTAAAATTTTGATTTTAATCCATGTTTGGTACAATAGAAGAAACATAATAAAATATTAGAACCGATAAATTAAGCACTTTCCTCGTTTGCTCAACGTTTTCAATTTTATCTAGTCTATGTTTGACAATTATTATATTCATACTCTTTTTTCTACATACTTATTTTTAACCACATATTCACATAATGAAATATTTTAGACGTAAATGCAAACTTATTCCTACTTGTTAACCATACGTTCTTCTAAAAATTATTATTTAAAGTCCTATTTTTTTCAAATGATAATTGTCAAATAGAGTATTAGATTAATGTATCAAACATGTACAATATGTACATGGACCATGCTACATTCACACAACCATTTACACAATGGTTTACACACTCGACACTTGGCCGCCCCTCCAATAGGGGGCGGCCAAGTGTTGAGTGTGTAAAAAACTGTGTAAATGGTTGTGTACAAATAGTGTTATCCTATATACATGGAAGGGTTGATCTTCGAAGGAGTAAAATTGGACTACAACTTAGGATAAAAACTATGATTCCTCCCTGTACACGCTTCGACTTTCTTTCGCTACTTTTACTCCGATGATTCATTGCAGTGATTATGTATTTCGATTTTTATCTAGTCATATGTTCTTGACAAGCATGTGTAACAAATTTTGGCTGGTTATTTTTATTTTATTTTATTTTATTCAGAAGGTAGTATGAGGTTTGTCCCCGCAAACAGGAATTAGGTTGGGACCTGAGAAGAATTAGAAACCACTTTGGTGTAAATTTTAACTTTAAATAAATTGCAGAGAAGCCCTCTACTTAATGGATATGCACAATAGAGTCCTCTATTGAGTCTTACTTCGACTAACCCAAAATATAAATTTTAAATGTAAATTTAGAATAAAATTTTAATTAAAGCATGAATTAAAATAGATGTGACTTAGTATTTTTTGGTAAGAATTTTGTTAATTGATTTTTTGACCGTTAGAGATAAAGTGAGTCCTATTTATGAGAGAAGAATTCAAAAATGACGGCTGGAATAATGAAATAAAAAAAATTGATGATAATTGGATTAAAATCTCTACAAAACATGCTTTTAGACTTAAGCCTCGACTTATATTTTGCAAGATTTGTATTATTATTTTATACTTATAAATTGACACACTCTATTCTAATATTTGAATTACAATAATTAGAAAGGGACGTTGAAGAGACCTTAAAAATCATATTAGCCCAAAAATACTCGTAAGTTAAATTTGAATTTGGGAAGAAAAACTTATCACAATGAATAAAATTTCAATTTTTTTTTCTTTTTTAACAACACGTTATATTCTCATTGAAACTTATTACTTGAAGTAAGTTTAGAATTATGTTTGGATTCTCATTCCGACTTTTATAGTTCAAATATGATTGAGTATCCCCACAAAAAAATAATAATAATAATTATTATTATAAATAAAATAAAATAAAATGTGTTCATTTATTTACATTCAATGATCGGCCAAATTAGACAAGCATATAATACCAAAGGGACTAGCTAGGGCGGTGCACCCCTTCTTCTAGCCAATAATTAATTTATCCAAATAAAAATGAGGGAAAAAAAAAAGAAAAGAAAAAAAGGGGGGACCGATTCCGTCGAGCATTCCATTTGGTGACACGACCTAGCAAAACGTTGTAACTTGGCCCTTAACACTAACACATGGATTGACTGAAATTTTTGAGACTATAATTGTTGTGCCTCTCACAGAGAGACTCCAGAATCTAGCCCACATGGCAGACAGATAAATGGGCGCACCACATCAACATTGAAGCATTGAGGCGCAGTGGCTACAAACATATCTGAGCCCCGTTGTGATTTGCCTTGGGACAAAACAAGTCGAAGGGCGAATCATCATTGCTGAAGCGGTTTAAGATCACTTCGCCTCACGTGTATTAAGTGCAAAATCTTTAAAGATCTAGATAAAATAAGATCCGTACGATTGATTTGATTGCTTAATGCTTGCACAGCAGACGCCAAAATGTCAAATCACGAAATCCATTATCATGGAGCATTAAATGTCCGCCCACCTATAGATTGGCTAATTGACATCTAGGAGGGGACGCCTCAACTGGCAAATGCGGCCACTTGTCCCTCATCAAATGGTCCTAGATTCACATCCCCCTATACATACTCACACTTATTTTCATTTGAATGTAATGCAATCTTATTGATTTAACATACAATTAGTTTGACTATCTTTGGATCTAAAGGGTGCTTCTTTCTTCCTTCAGCTAGTCGTCGAAGTACTCGTGACCGTATTCACCACCATCGAAAAAAGCCATGGATGACTAACGGTTTGCTATCCTGAGCAAGAAAGCACCTACGTGGTCAACAATAACAATAAATAAAAATTTTAAGCAAAATATTAAATGTGAATCATAATAAATATTATTAAATTTCATAAAAGTAATGCACAATTGCATAAATTTAAAGAATTTTATTTTATTACAAGATCTTCTCTTGTAAAATATTGAATTAATACAAATCATTATTAACATAGAACTATCATTAATACAGTATTAAAATCTAAAAGATATAAACGTGTTAACTCATAAAGATATTCAGTGGCGGATCCAGAATTTTAAGTGAGCACAGATGGCCGTTGACTTTTGACTGTCAGCTGTAAAAAAATAAAAATTAAATATAATAATTATTTTACTAAAACTAAACATATATAGTTTTTTAGAATAATTCACCATGTAACATAGTGGCCAAGTTTTATATAATTTAAAAGGAGGCGTATGGGTTCGAATCCTTGCAAATTGCATTAAAACTACTAAAATAGAATATATATTTTGCTGGAGGAGTCTAACCAAAATCTTGGTGGTCAAAGGCAAATTAATGGTGGTCAACTTGTCAGTACATTGTAATTTTAATCCTTCACAGTTCACCAGCAAATAGTACATTCTACAGTATGTTTGTAAAAATTTTTTTTTTTTACATCCCCCTTTAGAATACACATAGCATGGGGTGGGTAGATAATTTTTTGGATTATTTTACTTACATGGGACCCACTCCCCAGGTGAGTATCTGAAATTCTCCTGTGATGAAAAATTCTGTACACATAGAATTTCCCATGTTTGTATTATTATATACCTCCTTCTCAGACTGCCTAAATCGTGACTCAAAAGTAAATAGAGAGAGAAAGTTATTTATAAATAGAATGGATATCGAACAAATTTTCATCATTCATCGCCCTTTTAAAAAAAATTATAACAACATTGATGCTTACTAAGTGGGATTTTCATATCTCCAGACTCCACCTAAACCTAATTTTCCATGGTTAAAACCAAAAACTACAAGGAACCTACAAACAATCTAGTCGAAGAGTTCCCATAAGTTTATAATTGCACTTCTACTGGGCTAAAACTACGAAGACTTTCCAATTTTCACCACATGTCCAACGTTCTCTAAATAGCGATTGAATAGATGTTAAGAATAATATAGTTAACTGTATAATGAATAAGATTTTAACTTTTCATTTCCAATCCGTCCAATCCTCCCATTCAAAATATGTCAAAAGTTTTTTATAGATAAATTAGTCGTCTAATGTAACTTCATAGCATCCCATGTACAGGTTACACATGCTTGACTATGAAGAAGAGTTAATACCGGATGCAGCTAGAATTACTCATTTCTAACGTCTTAATCATTTAGATGATAGTTGTTAATAAAAAGGTTAATGGTTTATCAGACGGTTGCACGTCTTTACGCGAAAATATGGCAGGAAAGCTGAGAAAAGAACGTACAAACACAAGCAATTTACATTACAGAATAATTTGTACACATTTTACAGGACTCAAATGCCAAACGACCCTTAAAGCATACTACATATGAGACGACTAGAAAGACACTCAATTCAGACAAGAACTGAAGTTTGAAGGAAAGAAGTGAAAAACGAAAAAAAAATCACTAAACAAGGGAAAGCATAGATATCCTAAATGCGAGTTTGGGATATAGTATTGGATAATATTGAACGTGTCTCTTTCCTTCATCACTTCCATAATACCCAGTCCAATTTACTAAACACGTGAAAGGATTAAAGTCGGATTATTGCTCGTCTCTAACTTCAAATTCACTGCGAGTCTTTACGACGATGTCATACATGTGCATGGACTTAAACCTGTTGAAGTCTCTAGGGAGAGAAATGAGATGAGTTGTAGATCTCCTATGAAACTGAAGAAGATCAGGATCATCATAATACCTCTCCCAACCAAGGGATGATAATTTCTCTGCAAGAACATCGTAAGAATTGATGACATCGTTACTCCGCGTGTGCACCAACACTTTCCGGCGAGCATTTGAGCCCTGGCCATCACCGGGGTTCTCGAGTCGGTAGACGCCATCCTTGAACACCCATACACCAGCCATTTTCAATGCAGCTCAAGATTTAGTGGAGGTTTTGTCTTAGGACAACATGGGGGATGCGACAGTTTATATAGGACTTCAAAAACTTGGGTATAGTTTGCAATAGGGTATGGGGGTTGGGTGTAGATACAACGTTTTTGGGCCTTTGTGGGCACATATTTACAACCTTATTTGTGGGGGGAAATTTTAATTGGATTGAGAAGAATCCAGTTTCTGTATCTGATTCCTTTTAAAGCCCACTCTTTGGGAATCTTTCATTTTTGAAGAGAAAAAATTTGTAAAATTATTATCGCACTTTTCTAGACTGTCAAATACAAAAAGAATTATACCTTGCATAAAAGAACTGACATGAAAGATGTATGTTAACGACCCTAGCCTATCGAATATCTAAAGTTTTATCCAATTGCGATTGGATTTGTCGACTGCTAGATTTCAATTATATTGATATATATGTAATTGTAATTCATGTTCTTTACGAGGAATAAGATTAAAGTATGAATAATGAAAAAGTAAGTTTACAAGAATTGGATGAAGTGTGATTAGGACAATTTCGTTGTGGGTTATTTAGATTGAATTACATAAAATATAAAACTCGTTAATCATGTTGTACGTGGTCGATTAAAAAAAAAAAAAAGTCTTAAAATTTTACTTTTTACACTTATCCCAGTTGGAATGCTCGCCAAATGCGAAATTATGCAGCAAACTTAAAAGCGAAGATAACGGTGGTGCTAATGAAAAATATAAATAACGATTTGAGATTGTTGGAGCATATCTTCGAGTAAACTATAGAAGTCTTCAAATAACACAAGAAAGGAGTAGAGAAGTGTTGCGTTTTTGATACTCAATAAATCTTGTTCTATAATGTTAACGTGGGTTAATATATTTCATAGGTATAGGCCAATGAATGAAATAAGTCCAACAACCAAATCCATGAGCTCCACTCGGTCAAATTGTATTCTCTCTTAGATAACTTGAATTTTGGCCTGTTTAGCTTTCTTAATGGTCCAATTTAAAAGTGTAACCCTAACATATTTATAAGGAATAACCCATAGCCACTTTCTTGTACGATTTGTGTGATTTTTGTGAGAAAACAAGAAGAACTCGGCTACCCCTTAAAGAATGTGTAAAACAGTCTCTTGAAGTGTCCAAAAAGCTAGATTACTTTGTGTAATTTGTGGTTTCTTCATAGCCTACTCTGTGATGTTTTCTCCTTGCGTATGTGACTACAAATCATCTTTGTTTCTTATCTTTTGTGGGTAATATTGAATAGCAATCGAGGTGAATTATATTGGTTGTGGATCGGAGCCGATTTGATTGGTTGTTGGTAGAGAAAGGTAAATTGAACTGGGCCAGAAAACACCGATTTGAAAATTTTTAGAGAGAGCTTCCGCAACATTTGGTATCAGAGCTGGTGATTTTGGCTTATGAAACATACCAAAAAAGTCCAGAATGTCTACTTAAACGAAGCAAAAATCAAATCGAAAATTTGTCCAGAAAATTGTAAAAATCAACCCCAATTTTCGTGTTTTTTGATCAATCCAGAAGGAGTTTGGGGAAATGAATACCACTAATGTGACGTGCAGCTAGAGGCAGTCTTGGCCGTCAGGCGCTATAGCTGACGACGGCCCGTGAAACCCACACGCAGAGAGACTGGAGGCGCGTGCGGCAGTTTTTGGAGGAGGTCTCTTCAACCAGTTTATTCCGAACCATATTTCTAACATTTTTGGTGTTGTTAGTTTTTTGTTTCAGATTGTGCAGTAGAATCTGGACAGTGTTCTTCTTTGGACATTCGGGATTCAATCATAGTTTGTTAGTTGCTGTAGTTTCTAAAGATTTTAAGATGAATAGTGGTGGTCTAAAAGTGATAAATTCACGTCTCTCATAATTTACGAACTCAGATTGGTCCGCTCTGGTGTATTGACTTATTCCAATTTAAATTTCAGCATTAACGCGTTATCGTATGGGGTGACAATAGATTTGTCGTTACCGTGAAGGGGTAACATTTCTTGTGCTAAAAATTTAGAATTTATTTGCCATATTTGAAGTGTTGAGTTTTGATTGCAAGTTCGTAGTTGATTTTGTGCTTCAACTATCCTATAGTCACTGTGTGAGATTGTGTTGCATGAAAATTCGAACTTCTATTTACATACCTGCGTGTTGCATTGATTATCATATTAGAACACCTTGACTTGACCCGTTCGAACATTTTCTTGTTCTAAGATCGCAAATCTTATGAAACCCTAGAAATCTAGAACGCTATATATTGCGATTGTAGGAAAACTATGTGACCTATCTGTGCATTTGGTTGTTCTATTTTCTTAAAATGTTTTCACACTTTGAAGTTGGAATTTTTAATGGAAAATGGGATATTTCAATTTGGCAACAAAAGATAAAGGGTATTTTGATCAAACAAAAAGTTTTAAAAGCCATAGATGGAAAATTCCTACAAACTTAACAGAAGCACAAAGAAGAATATGATGAACTTGCTTACACTTCAGTTATTTTACACCTATCTGATACTGTTTTGAGAAAAGTAGCTCGATTCTATCAAAGAACTTTCAAAAAAATTGGAGGACTTATATTTGCTTAAGTCTACTACTAATAAGCTGTACTTACTTGAACGATTTTTTAGCTTTAAAATGGATCCTTCAAAAGATCTTGACAACAATCTGGATGTTTTTAATAAATTAGTTCAAGAATTTGTTAATTGTGATGAAAATGTCTCTGAAACATATAATGCTATTATCTTGCTTAATTCTATGCCTTATTCATATAGAGATGTTAAGAATGCATTTAAGTATGATAGGAAGACCTTAACACTCTAGATTGTCATAGACTCATTTAGGAGTAAGGAGATGGAGATTAAGGTTGATAAAGAGGATAATAGGAGTGGAGAGTTAAATATGATGAGGAGTGGGATGAAATTTAAGCAAATAAATTTTGCTAGAACTCAAGATTGTAGTGATTCGAGTAGTGACTCGAGTGATGAGGGTAATAAGAAGAAGGGCAATGAACATGACAAGTTTAGTGATAGAAGGTGTTACAGTTGTGGTAAGTTTGGGCGCTTTATTAGGGACTATCCCAAGAAGAAGAATAAGCAGAAGGGTAAAATAAGAGGTGAGACAAATTTGGCTTTAGGGTCGAGTGATGACCCTAATGAGGTTGATTGAGAGTAAACCTAATTACTGTATGTGCATCTGTGTGTGATCCTTTTTGCATATGTGTTTGATATGTGCATTTGCATGAATTTGAGGTAATATAGTTACTTGGTGTGATTGTTTGAATGCATAATGGGTTAGGATGTATTAGTAGTGTGTTGTGTGTCTTTTGGTGAGGTAGAGTATAGATGCCTAGGGGTTCATTGTGGTTTGTACTGGGAATATGAAGTGTGACATTTGGATCACGAGTGAAGAGGTGATTAATGTCGAGAATCCTTTATCTGTAAAGAGAAACTGATTAGGTGGAGTGTGGGAGAGTCACTTTTATCACTTCTGTTAGGTAGGGACTCATTATCGACATAGGTTGTGAGAAGTGATGTTGTGATAGAGGATTATCTCGTGGACTTAGGATCTATTATGACTTACAAGTTAGACATGAGTTAAGTGATCAATCTAGTGGGCATTGTGAACGATGAAAGGAGATGTGTGTTCTCGAGGTGTGAGCAACACGGAATGAGATAGAATAAGTGTGTTGAGATCGTTTTGTGGGGTCATTTATGCATTTGTTGCATATATGTTGGCCGTGTGTTTGATTAACTTGGTTATTAATCTGTGGTTTTGTGTGAACGTGTTTTTGAAAAGATATATGTGTGTTATCCTATAATATATCGTCATCGCATGTGTATTTACTCTTGATTGTTTATTGTTAAATATTTACTTTTACTTGGGTGTTCTTGACCTTAGCCCCAGTGTCTACATGAAGCAAAGAAAAATGTGGTTAAAAATAAATTTACCCAAATATTGGCCTCGAATGTTCGATAAACTCTAAACGGCTGTGGATTTCAAAAAATAAAATATTTACTCTCTCACTGCTTCAACTGAGTGAGAAAAGCACTTATATTACTACTTGCTAATCCTTCTTTTTGCGATTTCAAAATAGAAGAAAACGTATTATCGCTCTTTTCCAATCGTGTTGTATTGTTTTGAAGTTAAACATGATTTATGACATGATTTTGGTAATGTCAAGTATCCATCATACGAATTTCACGTAGGCACTCCATTTGCCAAGTGGCTTGTTCCTTTTGTATTGATAGACGGAAGTTGATTTTGGTGCATGTATGTTTTTTAATACAAAGTTGAGGTCATGTATGGTATTGATACAAAGGTAAGAAGGTAAAGTTCAAGGAGTAAATTACTCAAATGGTCATTAAACCTTGCAAAAAGTTTTCACGGGATCATTGAACTTTAAAATCGCCAAATTTATTACTAAACTTTATAAAAGGTTTTCATGAGGTTACTAAACTTTAAAAATTACCACATTCATCACTAAACTTTCCACCCCTCGGAAACATTTTGCAAAGTTCAGTGATAAATTATGTGATTTTTAAAATTCAATGACCTCGTGGAAATCTTTTGCAAAGTTCTGTAATGAATTGGATGCTTTTTAAAGTTCATTGACCCTGTGGAAACTTTATGCAAAATTCAGTAACCATTTGGGTCATGTATCATTTGTTTAATGAATTTGTCATGTGTTTGTCACGTCATTCAATCATTGTCACGGGGTATTCTTTTAATCAATGTATAAACATGTACAAATTTGTGAGTTCTTACATATTTTTTTATACATGTAATAAAGTTTATGCACCGTTCACACATTTAACCTTGATCTTATATGCCTCTAGGGATAACAATAGCTGAAAATGACTTATTTGATTTTTATGATCAATTAACTTTCTATAAAGGTTTTTCTCTTTTTCATTTTTTTTCCCACTACATACTTCACAAAGATCTCCTTATTAGTTAGGAAAAAAAATCTATGACTTGATATGACATTTTAGGTTGATTAGACCGTTATACGTTACATTCTAGTTTGGTTAGATGTCATATGGAACTATTAATATTGAACTTATTTCTGGCCTAGTGTCATTTTTTCTTGTCTCAAATTATAGTATAATTGAT